CAAAAAAAAAGTCTGAACTTACTTTTGCAGGTGATGCTGACAAACCTGGTATCTTTTATGATGAGGGACCTTAAAAATGTGACAGTTCTGCCCATCAGAGCTGCTTGAACTGGTACCTCTCTGTTGTCTGAATGGTGTCTGAGCCCTTGGTCATGTCTGTGTGCTGCTTTGTTTCGCACACAACCTTCCTGTGAAATCTTAGCTGGCCTTTTTGTCTGGAGCTTGACTCCTTGGTTGCTGAACAGATCCATATGTAAAGGATTCCCTGGAATGACCTTGGACCTTTGGTGTAAGAACATCACAGTGAATACTCCATTAGGATTTATGAAGTCTTAGTAAAGTGTTTGTGTCCCTAGAACTGGACAGGAATTCACAGAGGATGCAGGGAAAGAAAAGCCCTTCCTCCCTGACCAACAGAACTGATATGTGATCTGGTATGTTCTCAGCGTCTTCCTTCAGCAGCTGGAGCCCTGCAGAAACAAAGCTTCAAGAGAAGCTTCAGATAAGCCACATTCAACATGAATAAATTGATGAAATGCCTGGAGTCCCCTCTGCCAAAGCCTCCTTCTTTTAAGGGTTCAGGAAAATAGAAATTGCTTCTATTGCAGACTTCAACGTGCTGTGATTGGAGTGGGCTTTCCACATGATATTGAAGCTGGTGTTAGTGAACTGGGGAGGAATGGTCAAAAAGCTGTGGCTGATTAAAACTTTCCAAATGCTACTTAAATACTGTTTTTAGCTCCATAAGTCAAGGTACAGGTAAGAGAAATGGGTCAGGGAAGAAATGACTCCGTGCAGGAAGGTAGTATTTCTTTTTCTTGAAAGCGCTTGGTAATTGGCTACATCTGCACCGCTCAGACTCTTGGCAGCCTAAGCATCGTTTTGTGGCTCTTGCTGGAGGAAGAAAAACCTGCCATGATTTGGTGCGACATAGTCGGGTTCTGCTGCAGCTTGGGTGTACCAAGATGAAGGCTTGAGCAAGTCTAAGAGCAGTCTGGAACGATGCATTGCTTGGGGAACTGTGGCAAACTTGACTTTCTAATTGGTATAAGGTTTTTTAATCACTCAGAAAATTGCTGGTTACCTCTGAGTGCTGGAATTGCTTTTGCCTGGTGCTCGTTGGTGCTCTACATGCCCTGCATCGGCAGCACCCGCGCTGGGCTTGCCCGTGCTCCAAGGGTAACGTGAAATGGAGCAGCCCAAAACCTGCTCCTCAGCCTGGGATTCGCATGGTGCTTCCCGCACTCCCTGCTCTGGGATGGAGAGGAAATAACCTGTGAAATGGGGAACGGCTCCTTTGTCACAGACACAGCCGTGGATCTCCTGCTGCCTCCTCTGGCCTTCCCAAGACAAGTCTGCACTCTGGTTGGATGAGAGCAAAGTAAACGTTGACACTATAGTAGTAATTTACACCTGTAGTAGTTCCAAAAACATCATGAGTCAGATTGGAGGAAATCAAGTTTCGGACTTTTTGCCAGTTGTGGCAGTTGACATTTTTATGCTGCTTGCACCGTTAGGAGACAGCAGCTTCCTTGCCTCCCAGAGTGGCTGAGGTAGGAAGAGGCCTCCGGAGATCCTCCAGCCCAGCCTCTCTTCCCCGACACCCTGGGTGCCTGGTCCCGATGCCCTGGATTGCGCTCGGGGGGCTCCTGGACACCCTGGGAACGGGATCCCGCAGCTGCTGTGTAGCCCGTTCCAGTGCTCAGCCACCCTTTCAGTAAAGAGCTTTGAAGTAAAGGTCACACTCCAAAAGCACAAGGAGCACGAGCAGGCTCATTAAATTTGCGGTGCAATTATGAGCGCTGGCCCCGTGGCTTCCCCTGCTTTGTGCTGGGTTTCCCTGCCTCATTGCACTTGCTTGCCGGGCAGACGCGCTGCCGAGGTCGGCATGTTTTTCCTATATGTGGAGCGTAGCTTGTTCCCAGCTCTGCTTCCTGCTCACCTTTTCCAGACTTGATCCTGGGCCCCGAGGAAACGGCTCTGTATCCCCTCGTGTGTAATTGCTGCTCTGGGGCTGGGTTGAAGGGCCAGCAAGGAGAGAGGACGACGACTTTGGTGCCGCTGTGTGCAAAAAGGCTTCTAAAACCAACAGGTTAAGAATCTGGCATCAGCTTTCAAGGCTTGTCATGCTGCTGGGAAGGATAACAGAGCTGAGGTCCTTGGTGCTCTATCAAAGGCAGGGCCTGTGGCTCTTTAGCAAATCCCTCCGGATGCCCCTGTGTGCCGGGAGCCGGTTCAGGGCTGTGCGTTACTGCCCCCCAGCGCCGGGCTCATGGGGGACAGGGGCCACACTTGAACATGAGGTAAATCCTGGGGGGAAACAGAGGATTTTTGGGTCACTGGCCCTCATCAGACCAGACACTTTCCATTCATTAGTAAAGCAGTTTGGGGGTTGCCCTTTGGCCACATCTGTTGTTGCTTTTCCAGGCTGCGGAGTCTTCAATTAGGGTTCATTAAGGACCGTGTCAATCACAGGGCTCCCCAGGTCCGGACTGAAAGGAGTGGTGTGCGGGGCTGGCACGGTGCTGGTAATGTGCCTTGGTACCGAGGGCTCGCTCTGGGGCTTAATTAGTCGTTAGCTGTGCAGAGACGGCCTGCAGGCTGCTGGGCGGCCCCTGGGCTTTCAAAGTCGCCCTACAGAAGCAGAGTTCGGTGTAAAAAGGCACCTGCCTTGTTCAGAAGAGCTGATCCGAGCCGGGAGCGTTTACCGTTTAGCCTTTGGAAGCCTTGGCACGGGGAGCGGTGGGTCAGGCCCGCAGTGCAGCTCCTGTGAGAGGAATGTTGCGAAGCGCCTGCGCCCTTTTGTGGATGGTGTCGGCATGAAGATACCCCAAGCTATAGCACTGATGTATTAATACAGGATTTAATTCAGTGTTTCCTGGATCCAGGCTCTCTTCGTTTTATGTTGTCTGTAAGACAGAGGCTGTAGATGTCCCATACCTGTCACAGAGGCAGTGAAACGCAAGTGTCTTGTGCTCCCCTCGCTTGTCAAAGGTGAATATTAAAGGCATCTTGTGGTTGGAAGTGCTGCTTGTGCCACTTAAGAGTAGGATTTTATTTCAGCTCAGGTGCCAGGTGGTATGAAGCCAGGAAGCTTGAATGGGTAAATGCCTTGTACCAAAAGATGGGGACCGTCCCGAGGACTTGTCCTGCTTCCTCGTGAAATAGCGTGGTGACATGCAGGGTTTGTGAGGAGCTCATGGAGATGAGTAGTTGTCTCTTGCAAGGGCTTCTGAGTCTCTGTTTATCTGGAAGGAAGCGCCACCTTCCTCACAAGTAGCCCATAAACGTGGAGCTCTTTGAGCCTATCTCGAAGTTGACGTAAGCACTTTGAGAGACACATCACGGAATGTGATCCGTAGAGTCCTGCATTGCAGGAAGCAGGTGGCACATTTCATGTGTATGTTCTGAAGGCACAAGATCCAATCGTGTTGGCCTTTGTTTGGCCCGTGCTGTGGTCTTGGTCTTAGTCTTGCTGTGCAGAAGGGCCGCCTCCCCGCGTGGGTTCCTCTAGGCGCTCCTGGCTCCACGTGTGGAGTTGGACAGTCCCCGCGTCCAAGAGAAACCCCGAAGAAGACGGAGCATTTCAGGTAGCGCTGACCTGGGGGATCTCTGCTGAGCACCACGTGGAAACCCAGAGGACAAGGTGGGTGAACGTTGGGATTGCTCCTTCGTTCGCTCCAGGAGTGTCAGCTGCCCGGATGTGTCCGAGGGCTGCGTCTCCGGGAGAGGGGATGGAGGGGAAGGTGGGGACTTGGGTTTATTCCGCATGTGGGTCACACACAGCATGTAAGGGGGATTCTTGATAGGGCTTTTCCTGATGGCTTTGACCTGGGTATGAAAGTTAATGTGCTCCCAGTCTTGGCAGGAGCGAAGCAGGTTCCTCTGCAAAGAAGAAATTCCTGCTGAGTGTTTAATTTGGATGTTAGCCTATACATATGTGTGTGTGTGTATGTATAAATTACATGAAAATCCCGCTGACTCAGCAAGATGGGGCAGCTGGCAGAAAGCGGGGTGGGAGTCATCATTCTAGAACTGGATCAGGGACTGGCCAAGGGAGCAGCGTTTGTTTGCAAGCCCGATGCTCCCATCTCCTGTCCCAGCAAGGTGGAAAACCAGACACTGTTCTGCCCAGACCCATTTGTGCTCTTCCCTGTTAAACATTAACTTTCTGACGAAGCAAATTCCCCATGTGCTGCTGTGTGAGGGCCAGTAAAGCTCAAGCCCTGCGTCAAGGGGACACCCGTGGGCTGGCGGGTTATTTTGCAAGGGCCACGTTGCAGTTAGAAGATTTGGGAGGTTGCTCCTCTTGTGTTTCCGTTTCTCCTGGGAGAATGCTTGGAAGCCTTAGTGGAATGTGTTTTGCTTTTCAGAAGGTCATGGTGATGAATTTGGGAATGTTTTCCAATTCAATTTGAGTGGTTTCAGTGAGCGAGAGCCCAGTGGAGTCCAGGCGTCACTGCCTGGGGCTGCCGCACTCCGGGTGCCTGGTTCCTGCAGCAGGAATCCCCTTCACTGGGTGAAGGGCCTGTTCCCGAGAGCTGGTTTTCCCTGCGGTGAGTGAGCGGGAGTTTCCAGCCCCTGGTTACCCCTGGATGCCTTGGTGGTCACTGCAGGTCACCGTCAATGTGTGGAAATGGTGAATGGGACACTTGGTGCCAAGTCAGCACCCGCCTTGTGCTCACATGGAGTTATATAAATTCCCACTTCTTGCTTCGGATCCGCTGTTCCTTCTCTCCATAAGCCTAAGCAGCCTTTTTTATTTCCCTCCAGGCTCCTGCCGTTGGATTGCTGATGGTACAAAACGCTTGAGAAAGATGCCTTTCTAAGGGGACGTTTGGGGAATGTTGTAAGGGAGGGACTTGATTTAGTTTGAAGTCTAGTTAGAACTTCATCCAAGCCTGTTTAAACGGGGAGAAAAGCTGGGCCGTAGGATGGTCACGGTAAAGGGCTGGCGAGCGAATGTCCCCGTGTTCCCCTTCATTTGGCTGGATGTCCCTGACAGCAGCTGGGCTCCTGGCACAAACAGGGAAGGCTTCCCAGGATACGGATACGCTGTGGCGGGTCATAGGATAGAGAAGCCCTCTCCTGGAGGTCCCTAGCGAGGCGCTGGGCTCCCTACCTCCACCTCCGGCAAAAGCTCCGTTTTATCCTGCAGATAAGTGCCGGGGATCCCGTGGGTGGGCCCAGGAGCAGGGCTATTGCAGAGCTTTTTACACAGATCCGTCCTCCGACCCTGTTGCTCCTTGGCTGCTTTTTGCCAGAATTCAGCCCAATTACTGGAATAGAGAGTTGCAGTTTCACATATCAATTCCAGCTGATCTTGAGCACAGAGGTCTGTTTAAATGTCACTTAATAAACACAGCTGGGGACTGCGTTTCCCGTGGGCTTTCCCGTGCGCCCCGGTTGGATCCACGCGAGGTTTTGCGGGGGTGACCTCGCTGGTGGTTCCAGGCTGCGACGAGGGGAGCCTGGCTTCCACCTCGAGCTTCCACGTTGTCCTTTAAGCGCCTCTGTGTCTGGCGGGAACAGGGACTTGGGAGGCTGGGAATGACTTGGGATGAGTTACAAGGGCGGGTTCTGATCCCGGCCCCGGACGGGGGGGCAGAAATCCAGGCGAGTGGGGATCAGGAGCCAGACCCGGCCTGACTGAGCTCATCCATGCTCTGCTTGGGTGGGTCTTCCCAAGCAGCAATCCCTTTGCGCTTCCTAATGACATGAATTTTCTCCCTTCTGCCCCTAGAGGTAAGTAAAATAATTCATAAGAGTTACCTACAATTAAAACTGTTTTTTCCTATTTGGATGTAGGTTTTATTTCAAAGCTGCGTAAGTGCTGGTCGCGTACGGCTACCTGCATGTCGCAGATGCAGCACAAATTCAAAGTCATGGATTCAAACCCGAACGTGGCTGCGTGCTTTCAGGATTAGTGTTTTTCAAACATGGTTGGACAGGATCTAACAGCATTTCACCACATCTCCCTTCTAGTTCTTCGAGGAAAGAGTGGTTTTGTGCTTAATGCTGACGTATTTAGCACAGTGTGCGATATTCCCACGCGGGTCAGCGCGCGCTTGGGGCAGACCCTGCATAAACAGGGAGCAGCAGGTATTAGCAAACCAAAATATTAACTGTGTTCTGGCCAGCTAAGGTGGGGAATTAACCGCAGCTCCACCAGCGTGATGGAAACAGCTGGGAGCTCCCGCTCTTGCAGATCCGTAAAGCTTCTATAGGAGTTTATTTGATCACGTTTAGAAGGTGGCTTGGGAGCAGCTGTGTGGTTGGTAGGATAGTGCCTGCCCGGAGGGGGAGCCTCCTCGGGCTGCAGTGCCTGCGCCAGCACAAATGGGGGTTTGTCCCCATAGCGGAACCGTGGCCTTAATTAAAACACTGTCCACATACCTGGCTTCCCGTGGTGGGGACTAGTGTTACACGGGACAACAGCATCCTTGTTCAACATGCAGCAGGAGACGCTGGACTCGCTTTCATTCAGTTTTTTTCCCCCTTGTTCTGTTCCACATGCTCATTGTGCATCTCAGAGGGGGCATCAAAGCCCCCTCAAACACAGACCTGCTTGCACGGTCTGTGCTCCTGAATGGTCCTGCACTTCCCTTCCACGTTGGGCAGCTGGATGCAGCCCCCTGAGATGGCCCCTTTTTTCCTTTCTCTTCCCTTTTTTAATGTGCAGCGAGGGTGGTCTCGCCGCGTAGCTGCACGTGCAGCCTCCCACCAACCCACTGAACACCCGTTTGGGAACACGGTGCATTAGGGGCTGCTGCAAGCCCGGCTAACTTAACAATGACCATCTAAATATATTTAGATATATATTGAGGAAGATATCAAGGTAGGACTATAGCCTGTGCCTGACCTCTGGCTGCTTGAAAAGGGAAGCCCTGGTGTCGGGGTGCAGGGAGGGAGAGCGCACTGCCTGTAGAACAACCGCTCGGTGCTGGTCTCGTGGTGACCCCTGTTTATGTTTGCATGATGGATTCAGTGCAATAACTGCTTTGGTGTTTTGGTGTTTGGTCTGAGATGGAGGGGAGATCCGTGGCTGGAAACTGGAGTCCAAATACCCTGGGTGACTAACGGAGAGAGATGCACCTACCCCAGCACAACTGGGCATTGCTCATTATATTATGTATTATATCGCCCGTTAATTAGACACTGCTGGTTAAGAGCAAACACAGCCCTTGGGAAAGGAGGCCGTGGTTGTGCCCACTAACATCCCTCCGCGTTGCGGGATGGGACAGAGATCAGTTTAGCTCGTGAGGATGACGTGGAAATGAAACACCCTGCTCCACTAAAGCAGAATGCGCTTGGCTTTGGCTGCCTGGGCTGCTTTCCTTTTCCTTGCTTTGCAGGAATTCCTCACGTGCACGGCTTTTTGCAGGGTCTTGGATCCAGATGTTTCGTGGCAGCTTTTCTGCAGGGGAATGGACTTCAGCCTCTGCTTGCCTTCAATGCAGGGCTTCTTTGGGAAGTGCTTGTCCATGTATTTGAGTTGGCAGAGCTGTGCAGCGAGGCCTCTGCCGTCCCTGTGCCCACGTGTAGCGGCCGGGGGCTTTTCCCTAATAAACTTGGCACAAGTGGCCCTGTCCTCCGGCTCCCCCTTTCCCTGGTGAGCCGAGAGGCGGAGGAGGGAGCCAAGTGGAGCCAGATGGGCTGAGAAGGCGGATGTGTCTCGCGTGCCTGGTGCCGCGGTGCCTCTCACGGGTCTCAGCTCCACGCGGCCTTGGGTTTCTCTGTTTCGGAGAAAGGAAAGAGTTTCCTGGAAGCTGCTTTTTTTCCTTTCCGCCTTTGATATTGGTGGCTGCATAACGGGCTTGGGGTCGTTCCAGCCAGGTCTCCGAGCACCGAATCATGAAATCCTCTGGGAATAAGATGCAAGGAGTCCTTGGGGATCACACCAAGGTTTGAGGTGTCCTTTGCGATCACAGCAAGCGCTTCACCGAGGCCATGGGCTGGGGAGCAGAGAGCAGATTTGGAGACTTCCTCTCCTTCCCTGGAGATCGATTCCCTGGAGATCGTCCAAACCTGCCCGGATGCGACTGGGTGCCCCAGGCTCCAGGGGCTGGACTGGATGGTCCCCAGGGGTCCCTTCCAACCTCAGCCATTCTGTGATTCCATGAGCTGTGCCGCGCACGGAGCTGCCCTGCCGGGCTCAGAGCAGATCCTGACATAGACGCTGTCCCGATGAAGCGATGGACACAGCTGGAATGATGAATCCCTTCAGAGCTACCTGCGCAGGGGACGTGGGATCTCCCATGGATGCCTGCTCGCGCACACACATGGATTTTTATTAGGCAGCCCGGTAATGCTTGGCCGGCTGCCTGGAAACTATTGTAACCTCTCCCCAGAGTGGGAGCTCATGAAAAATAACTTCTGGGGTATGGATGGTGTGGTCTTCTAGCAGGCCCCTAGTTCCCACTCCTTTATAAATATTTACTTTTATCCATCAGTCCTCAACAATCGCTTTACTGGCTGGCTTTGGCGAGAAGCTAACGGTGCGAGTGTATACATTAAAAATTACTGGACCACACTTGTGGTTGGGTAATTATATGTGAAATTATTAGAGGTGGGGCCATAGGATGGTGTTGTAACTTGTTTTTTTTTTTTTACCTTCCTTAAAGGTCCTGGTTTGGGGATAGAGGTGGGCTATTCATCACAAAATCTTTTAGGTCTCTGTTAATTTAATGTGTTACCCTCTTTCCCCCTTTTTTCCCCTCTCTCATGCCCACCAGGTCCCAAGCCTCTGTGAGGATCTCCTCTCGTCCGTGGATCAGCCGCTGAAGATTGCGCGAGATAAGGTGGTGGGAAAAGACTACCTGCTGTGCGACTACAACAGAGATGGGGACTCGTACAGGTGAGTTCCCCTCCAAGGCCAGGGTTTGCAGAACCAAAGCCAGGGGTTGCTTCTTCAGGCAGACCTGGAGTTCTCCAGGTGGTCCTGTTCAGTGAAGGTTCAGCTTGAACGTGGCTCTTAATGAGGGTTTTTAATCATCCTCTACTGCAGCGGAGCAGCAGCTATAGATGTTGGTTGCTTGTCCATGGGGGAAATGAAAAGAAGGCAGGTTTATAGAACAGGAATTAAACAAGTCTTCAGCAGATGGGCAGAGCGTTCTGTCAGTCCTTTAATGCCATATCTTTCATTAAGAGCCCCAGATCTCTTCCACACCTGCAGATATTAATAGTAGAAGCTTCAACTCAACAATTAGCTGTTCAGGTGCTTTCCTTGGGTGCTAAAAGCAGATTTATTTTAAAATAGTAGAGAAGAACTTGGACCTGAGTAGTAGAGAATAATGTGCAGCTCAAATCTTGTCAGACCAAACCAACCACCTGATCTATCTGTATTTGTATGAAAGTTATTTAAATGCCAAAGCCTCATCTTGGAATATTTAAGAAAGAACAAATTCCAGCTCTGGCATGATTGATTGTTTGTACAATAGGAACCTGAAGACAGGGGATAATCCCGGGCACCCCATGAAGTTTCTGGCGCTGATCTTCCCTTCTGTCAGCATTTGGGATGGCCGGTTACACCGGGATTTGTGCGGATGGGCTTTGGTTTCGAGCATTGAGTGTCCGTGTCCCGCTCGGAGGCCTCTGGGCGCCTTGGCCTCCGCTGCCTGAGGGTCTCCCCTTGTGTCTTGGCAGGTCGCCCTGGAGCAACAAGTACGACCCGCCGCTGGAGGACGGGGCCATGCCGTCCGCGCGGCTGCGCAAGCTCGAGGTGGAAGCCAACAACGCCTTCGACCAGTACAGAGACCTGTACGTGCCCCGCGCCTGCTGCGCTCCGCGGGCTCCGGCTAGACCTGCCCGGTGCACAATGTGGCACTGGCTGCCTTTGGGAGCAGCGTGTCCCTGTGTAGGGAGCAGCGTGCCCCTGGATGGCTGAGGAGCTATACATGCATGTATAGCAGCTGATCTGCTCTGGGGGAAGCTCCGCCAGGGTTTCACTGAAAGAAAGCATGAAATTAGGATCACATTTATCAGCCGATTGCCAAGGCAGATGCTGAAGTGCTTTCCTGCCTCCTTTCCCCGCTTTTAGCAGATTAATGGGGTCTTTGTCCTGAAATGACCTGTGTTCTCTTTTGATCTTGGCTAAGTTCATTTTCCTTCCCTGTTCCCTCAAGATTGCGGCCTCTCTCTCAAAAAAAAGCAAAGAAAGTAGCAGCAGGTTTCCCATGTTCCTGTAAAATGATCCATGCTGTTCTGTGAAAATGCAGCCGTTATGGGCAGTAATGCACTTCTGCTGCAAAGGCCGCTCTCTGGGGCTTATGTTTTAGGCCCTGTCTTGTTAGATACAAAGCAAAGGAATTAACAGAGCATGTGTAGGAAAATTGCTAGGCAGGGTCCATTTAAAGTGCAGTATCACACTGTGCAGGGGACTTTCTAAACAAAACGATTTTCTAAAAGGTGGCTGTGCTGGGTCGTGCCCTGCGTTCACGTCTGCGACGTCGCGTTTCGCTTTCACGGCCTCGGATGGGATGGTTTTTTGCAACGAGACTCTAGGCTGACTGGCGTTCCTTCCTTCCCTACCGGGTGTATATTCCTGAGGTGCATCTCTAACCACTGTTAGGTTTGTGCTAGATAGGCAACAGATGCTAGGAAAATGATCCTATGGGAGCAGTAATGCACAGAACACAGGAGGCCCCAGTGTGCTTCAGTGCCCTCGCCTGCTGGACGTTTTTTTTCTCTAATGAGGGTTTTTTCTAGGCTTTTTGAAGCAGTTGGTGAGCAAGTAAGTAAAGAGAAGAGCTGTGTTAACTCCCTTTTTATACCCATGAAATGATGGCATCTCCCATAGCTCGCAGCAGGGCAGCATATGGAGTATCTATCTGCAGCTGGAGCTTGAGGTGGCTTTAGGGTATCCCGTGGCCTTGCTTTCCAAGGGGAATGTTTGCAAGGAAAAGCTTTGCAGGGCCGCGGGTTTTGTGGTCAGAGTTGCTTCCTGCCCATACCTGCTTTAACGCAGACTGTTCTCAGCTACGTCTGTGGTTGCCCACCCCTAATTTCTGGTTTCTACTTGGGTCAAAAAGGAATATACCAAGTTTAAATTTGCTCCCTAATGAACACATTAACGCAGCACATTTCCTAGTTACCCACTTGACGAAATCGCGCGCCGCCCTCTCCCCCAAGCGGCCGTTTAATCCCGATCTCCTGCTGCCAGGTTGAGCTCAGACATTGCCTGCAGCTAATGCCCTGGTATGTTTTTGTTCAGGAGATGATTATTCCCAGATGGAAGGCTCCCATCCCGCACCGCCCCGGCTCTGCGCTTCCAATCTCGTGAAGATCATTTCGTCCAACACATGGTTGTGATTTATCGCCCTGCGCTTGGCGGGCGCGTGCGATTGATTGGAATCAGAGCGTAATGAGGACCAGGGAGCCTGGCTAAACCCAGCTCTTTGAGACTCAGGGCTCTGTCGTTCGGGGTACGAGATAATCAGGCTTTTAATGAAGTCATCTCGTGGGCCTTTATTGTCTGGAAGAAGTTGTTTCTGGAGTGATTAAATAGACCTCCCTGGGGAAGGATGCTGCGGATGGGAATATCTCTACAAACAAGATTGGCTGTGGCAGCTTTTGGTCAGTTTAGTCATAAGCTTGGCATAAATGTAGAGGGTGATTTCTTACCTCCGTTTCCTGGGTTAAGTTGGATTTATTGGTGCTTTTGATTTTTAATAGCTTAAAAAAAGAGATGAACTTCTCTGAGTCATCCTGTTTCTGAAAATACATTTGTTGATTAAGGTTTTGAATTCCTGCAGCAGACTAAGCCAGGGAGCCCGGAACTTCCCCTTGCAGCTTTGTTTTCAAGTCGATCCATTTTCAGAATTGCTGTATTAAGCCTCTGGACAAGGACATTCCTGGGAAGAGAAGGAGGTCTCGGAGGGCGTGCGGCCACCTGGAGCACGGGTAGGAAGGAGGAAAAGCCGAGTGGGCCATGAATGTTGGCCCGGCTCTGCCGCTCGACCTTCAGTTCCTTCCTCCTTGCGCTCCGTGCTGGGGCTTTGCTGTGTGCACCAGGCCCTGTGCTCCGAGTCAGGAGCAGGGCAGGAGGTTTCCCCTGGGACCCCCGTGCGATTCCCTAAACCCTGAGCGCAGAGGGTGGGAAGCTCCTGTTGGGAGGTGGGCACCGATGCCGCGGCGTTGCCACAAAGCGCCGGTGAGGCGCTCAGTGCTTCCCAAGGAGCTGTTCCCAGGGAAAATGGGACAGAACTGTGAAGTTTATCATAGTTCTGAATTTGTGGTTTGATTAGCTCTAAAAATACCTACTTGTGTTTTCAGAAATTTACATCATCATATCTCATAAGTAGATGCATTTTAAATTTATATGTAGATATACTGAATATGTTCAACAAGAGACTTGCGTTGCCATCATTTCCCCTGGTAAGCGTGGCTTCTGCAGGGGGATTTATCATGGGGTTCCCGCAGCCGAGTAGCAGGAAAATGAGGAGCAGTACTTTGGAAAATGAGGAGCGATACACTGGAAATGAGGAGCGGTACATTTTGGGGTTACATTTTAGTAACGAAGGGTCCTCAGAAGCCTGGGAAGCTCCCGGTCTTGGGGATCCCTTGTGCAGCCCATGGAGCCCAGCCGTGCAGCGGCGCCTACCCAAGGAGCTGGGGTGTTTGCCGGGGGCTCGTGCACCCATGGGGGCTGCAGGGATCTATGTGAAACGCCCATGCGGAGCCCTGGGGCTGCGGGGCAAACGGCTGCTCCCAGGACGCTTCGCTGTCCGTTGAAGCCCCGGTTTGGCTGACGTTGCAGGGCTGCCCGGGAAGGTGGTGTGCATGGTGAGCGCTCCCGCGGGCACGGCCGCTCCACCCTGTCCTGTCCTGCACGGAGCTGCTGTCCTGCTACCGGGATATCCGCACTGAACACAGAGCCACCCGGCCTCGGGGCAGCTCAGCTCTCTCGGTGCTGTCCCGAGGGGGCCTCTCCCCTTGCTGCCGGTTTGGGGGTGCCTTGGTGGTGCTGGAAGGTGGGTTGCTCAGACCTCCCCCTCCTGTTCCTGTGGTCCTCACGCCTCGCTGTGACGTGTACTCAGTCTGGTGTCTGCTCCATCATCCCGTCCTTCAGGTGATGCTCCGTGTGGGTGTCCATGGGACACCACAATCCCTGCTTGTGGTTGGAGTCACCGTCACTCCAGGGACCACTAGGTGAACGCCCCAAATTTTCTTTTGGGGTAGATTGGCTTTTCTGAGAGCAGGGCCTCGGGTCTGATCTAGATGGATGGAGATGCTTCCATTTCCATGCTGAAACTCCAGCAGTTGGAAGAAATATTTATGTAACCTCTGGAAAAAGAAAAAGAAGCTGGAAGTTGGGCAGCTGCCTCCCCTGCCGGGCCCCGCTGGAGGCCGGGCCTTGCTCCGGCCCCGCTCTCCCAGTGCCTGCACAGAATTCCTTACCAATTCACATGCCGACTCTCCACCCGCCTTGGCTTCCAGCACTTCATAAAGCCTTGGATCCTTCTTGGCTTAAATATGTGTGTGCAGGCTGGGCTCGATGGTCTCTAAAGGTCCCTCCTCACCCAAAGGATTCTGCGATTCTTTCATTTTCTTTTATTCTCATTCCAAAAGTAAGTCGTTCCATGGAGTGACTTTATATTTTCTTAATAAAAAAGATGATATTTTCCAGGAGTGCTGCGGTGGGTGAGTGACAGATACCAAGCTCGAGCTTTGGAGTCCACCTTGGGAGTGGATTCAGCGCCAGGGACGTTCCTGTGGTGCCGCAGTCCCAAAGGGAGTGCCCCTCGGCAGCCCTTGCACAGCATTTGTGTTGGCCCTTGGGCACTTTGGGAAAGACCATGTGCCATTTGAAAAGGACGTTCCTTGCCACGAGCCCTCGGAAATGCTGTTACATGGGAAGTGCAAGGATAATGCACCCGGAGCAGGGATCTGTGGGCAGGGAAGATCCGTGGGGAGCGGGAGCCGCGCGAGGCCCCAGGGCCTTGGCAGCGTGCCCGCGCCCGGCTGCTTTTTCTCTGGTCCCCGGCGTCCCATGGAGAGGGCCCAGGCCCCTTGCAGGCAAATCTGAGGTCATGAATGTGCAGCTCCATTCCTGCCAACCTGCGTCTGGCTTCCGAGGACGTGGCAGCCACTTAACCTGGAGCGCTGCTTCGTTCCTCGTGAAGAAAACTAATTTCAGGGAACATCCCCATCCTCAAATGCTGCTTTCCTTTAGTTTTCCTTTAGTTGCTGCATGCAGAAGGGTGAAGTACATTGTAGTGACCAACATTGTATTTCCTCCTCATGCAAGATGGGTGATTTCTGTCTATTTTATCATATTTTGGTGTGGTGAAGTGTTGGTGAAGCCCCCAGTGCGCTCAGGCTCCTATTTATTCCAGCATGCCTGGACTCAGGGCTGTTCCATCCCTGGCACTGCTGCTCCAGGCTCGAGATCACGGCTCTGGCGATGTCAAAGCGGCCTTATTGAAATAGCCTGTTAGTATTTAAAACAATATTAATGCTGTATTTGATTCATTAAGTGTACAAAGGCAAGTTAAAGCGTTTCCATGTGTGTGCTGTTAGTTCTGGCGGGAGGTTCCTCAGATGGTTTTATGTGGTTTCAGACAACATTTTAGCACATTCTTAAAATACCCACAAAAGCCTTTATGTAAAATCTCATAAAGGTGAAGCACATAAAAATGATTCTTTTTTTTCTCCCCGTTTCATGTCATTAGGATCAAAGTACAGTAGGTAAGAATAAATTTCCCAAAGCCTTGTTGCAGTCTCCCTTTTAATTAATGTTTCATGCTCATAGCAAGCCCATAAAATGGGTAATGGGGGAACTGTCTGTGCACATGGTGGCTGCTTTGAGGGAATTCATGACTTAGATACCTGTTTTTCTAAGCAGAATTCTGCTGGAAATGGGTAATAGTTTGTGCTCTTTGGCCTTGCATTTCAGTGTGGGTTGGAACGTCGCTCTGCCGAGGACCTGGAATTCCCGTTTCCTGCGGCAGCGAAAAGCCATTGGTGACCCTCAAGAAGCTGTCAAAAGGGTGCACTTCAGTTTATTAGGTTTAAATCACTGCAGGGTCCTTTTGTAAACATTATTGGTGGCTAAACAAGTGTTGTAGGCCAGTGCAGAAACACTGAGCTTTTGTGATAACTTCTGTGAGTCCCTTTTAACTCATTTGTTTTGCAGGAGGGTTCCCATTTAGCCCCACTTGCAATCAAGGGAACAACTTCACCCGCAGTGTAGACCTATTTACTTGCTCCCTTCTGCCTTCGTTAGCTGCCTTTATGGTGAAAACCTTCCAGGCTTTCCCAATAGGGAGAGAAAGGGGTGGAAAAAAACCCCAAACCCTGTAAAATAAAGCCCGTCTCTCAGCCTGCTTTGTAGCTTGCTCTTTTACCAGCTGTTACACTTAACTGGAGTCAAAGGAACCGTTTGCTCAAGAACGGTGGAAATCTGTAACTAGCTCTGTTTCTCACTGGGCTTCTCCTTAGCAGAAATGTGCTTTTTTTTTTCTCTTTTTTTTACAAAAAAAATGAAATGAATTCCCTCTAAAAATATTTAGTATTTCTAGCTGTTGAGAGTGTGCTGTCTTAAAAATATATATATATTTTTGGTAGGCTGTAGAGACCCTGGCAGTTTGTGGTGATGCTGCTGGTTAGCTGGTTAGCTGGGGGCCGCCTGCTCCTAACCTGCCCCTCGGCTGCTCCCTGCAGGTATTTCGAAGGCGGCGTCTCCTCCGTCTACCTCTGGGATCTGGATCACGGCTTCGCCGGTGTGATCCTCATCAAGAAAGCTGGAGACGGATCAAAGAAGATTAAGGGATGCTGGGACTCCATCCATGTGGTGGAGGTTCAGGTACAGCCCCAGGGCCACCAATATCCCCCCGGGAAAACAAACCCCGGTTAATTGCAGACAATTACGGCGCACAGGTGTTCCAGCCGACAATGCCGTATTGTGTCAGGGGCCCGAAACTCCTTTCCCCTGTTAATTTTGGAGAATTACCTGGAGCAATTTGGATGCGGATAAGTCAGGGCTGTAATCGAAAAGAATCCTCGAAGAATGGGAAGTATGCTGCTCCCTGTGCATGCGGGCCTCAGATAAGGGTGGTGGTTTTTTTTTTTTTTTTGAACATAAATGTTTGCAGATAAATATCACTAATTAGGTAATAAAAACGAGGGAGCAGGAGGTTAAATTGCTATAACCAGAGGTGCTTTTGGAAATGCAGGGGAATGTGCACACGTACAATTACTTATTTAAAACAAGAGGGAGCAGGAGCGTCGTGTGAACAGGGCTGTGCGGGAGAGCTGCAGCATCTGCAGTCCTGGATGATGGGGACGGGAGGGCGTTGGGGTTTTGAAGGAAGCGTCACCTTCTGTCTCTCCTTCTCGTCCCTCCACCTTAGGAGAAGTCCAACGGCCGTACCGCTCACTACAAGCTGACCTCCACTGTGATGCTGTGGCTGCAGACCAACAAAACGGGCTCTGGCACCATGAACCTCGGCGGGAGCCTCACCAGGCAGGTACGTGGTGCCCAGCGCCCCGCACTGTGGAGCCGCCACCTCCGGCCTCCCCGGGCAGCGGGTCCTGCGGCCGCTCAGCCCATGAGCAGACACACGGTTATTGAGACACCCCTTGAAATTCACTTGCTGGCTTTCAGCTTAAAGTATGCAGCTTTCATCGGGGACTTAGTCTGTCTTCGAGGTGTTAGTGTTGTGTTTGATATTCTTAAATTTTATACTCCCTTATGTACAGGCCAGACAGATACTTCTTTATCCATCAGATTTCTCCATCTCCTTACCGGAAGATTCTCATCGCGTTATAAAAATGAGGCAATTTGTCATCTTCCCTTTATTTTATTATTATTTTTTAATGCCAGCTAGGCCACCATGATTAAACCCGTTTCATATTGACTAGGAGATTGAACCTATTTTGTATTGACTAGAAGATACTTTTGTTCTTCAAAACTTTCAACCTGTTCCTATCCCGCTAAGTCTTTTGCTGTTGCTGTACCAGGAGACTGACACAAGGTAAGCACTTGAATTTGGGGCCAGGAGGAAGACTTCGGCTTCCTCCTACACCAGCTGTTTTTTGCAAGTACGTTGCCACATGTGGGGCTGTGCAGGTCCCACTGTGTGTGAGGCTCCAACGAGCAGGTTGCAGCAGCCTGATGAACCCAGGGCACATCAGGCACGTGGTTGTGGCCGTGAGTGACTTGGAGAGATCGGCAAGAGCTAAAACTCCTTCCTGAGGCTTCCCAGGCTGTTGCTTCCCATCCCAAGGACAAGGCGCGAGCTCTGTGGAACGCCCCGCGTTTTGGTGCAGCTTGGAGCCAGCAAAGGAAAGCAGGACCTGCAGGGAGGAGCTGGAATTGTGCCTTGGCTCTGCAGTCCCAGCAGCTGAGCCTGGATCTCCACAGGATTTTTCTTTCCGTGTTGACTTGCAGGAGAAGCTGATGAGGGAGGTGAAAAGAAAAGAAACAACCGAACTTTGAAGACAGTCGTCAGCACTGCTGAGTCTCGTAAAGTGTTTACAGTAATTATGCCTGGGTTACGGTGACCCGGACAAATATTTAATCATAGGCCTTCCTAATACTTGAAATCCCAGCTGTGAAGTGGGGGCCAAGGGCCGGGCTCTGGCGCAGCCGCACGGTGCGCGGTGGCCGCGCCAAGGCAAACAGGAGCCGCTGAGAACGGGTGTCCTCGGTGCACCTCGGCCCAGACTCTGGCCTGCGCTGGGCAGGTTCATGCTTCTGTCGTCGTATTCACAGCAGATCATTTACTTCAGATGTGATGCATTAGGGCAGAGGTCTGCTTCCAAGGCAGGGAGCTATTTTCCAGAGGAAGGAGGGTGCGACTTTGCGGGGAAGCAGAGCCTGGGCTTTGGGTCAAAGCGCTGCAGACGTGTGTTGCACTTGGGCCAGGGAGGCTGCAGTGCTGCACACCAGGCTTTGCTGCGCTTAGGTGTGCGCCAGGATGCAGGGCAGCCCCGTAAAGCACCGCAGAGACTCCCTGGTATTTGTCACGATAGGTAGATCTCCGGGGCCTGTGCTCTGCCGTGGGCGAGCCCTGGGTTGGCATCGAGTGGCACTTCCATGTACAGAGCTAGCCCGGTGACTTGCCGGTCACTGCAAGCATGTGCAGGTGCAGAGCGCGTTTCCAGCGGGGAGATTCCAACCCGGAGAGCAGACACCGTCCTTAAGCTTCCCTTATGTGAGTGGATACTGAGTGAGGAGTATTTTGGAGTGTAGATGGGAGCAGAGAGGAACCAATTGTCCGGGAAATCAATTCTGCTCTATGCAAAAACGGGTGTTTTTCCAGCGGTTTGGTTATGTAATAGTTGGTTTGTGACAAAGAGAGAAGCAGAGAGAGGAGCTGGCAGGAAGCGGCAGAGGGGAGGCCTGGAGCAGGCGCCGGATACGCTCGTGGGTTGGAATCGGTGCTCGGTGAAGGATGAGCGGGACCATGGATACGCTGATGGAAATGGGCAGGCTGGGAGGCCGGAGTGCATCCGTGCGGAGCGGCCAGGCTCTCGCCTGCCTTTGTGCCCTTAGAGTCTGGAACACGCGGCGCGGAGACGCCCAAGTTTCCCTCGCCGATATCCAAACAATTCCGCATATTTTCCACCTGGAGGCCCCAGTCTGGCTGTGTCCTCGGAGCCTCTGGCTGTTTGTGCTTCGTTATAGGGATTTCTGCATCGCTCTGTGCCCGGAGCAGCTGTGCGTGTCCTGACTGGTTCCTCGGAGTCACGGGGCGGATGAGTTTCCTTCTCATCATTCCGGTGTTTTTGGCCATTTTCATGACGAACTGACGCGTTCAGCCGGCGTTCCTCGTTTCGTGTTAACTCTTCTTCCAAACAGTGTTTGCAGAAGGCCCGGATGTGCAGCAAACGGCCAAAGCAATGGAGCCATCAGGAGCTCGGGGCAGCAGGAGAGCGGGTTCCCTCAGTCCGACTTGCCGCACACGGTGGGGACGGGAGGCCGGGAAGCTGCGCGGCGGCCGCGTTCCTCACAGACAGCAGCCAAGGCCGGAGCCGCGCGGATCCTTTTGGAGCACTGGGATTTCTTGGCCCGTCCCAGTGGCTGATGGGGAGTGGCAGTGGAAAGAAGAACTGGTTGTTAACATGAACTCTCAGGCTGGAACATCCCCCCCGAGCAAGTAGCCCCTTTGCTTAAGCAGCTCCAGGCTCCCTGCTCACTCCATGCAGGAACAGCCCACGGAGGGAACCCCTGCACGTGTTCGCAAGGACACTGTTCATCTGGCTGCTGATTCCATTAAAACAGCCTCTCGTAACATCTCGCCTCCCCCAGCACATGCAGAACCTCCTGGCAGCTGCTTTTATGACGACGTAGGAACGTGCGTTTTGCAAAAACAACCCCGTTTATGGAAACAGCCCCGTTTCGGGTTCCGCTCCCGAGTCCTGCGCCTGATGCGTGCGCCGTGGACGCCGCTGCCTCCCTGACACCCACGGCCGGTCCATTTGCACTTCCCAAACCGGCTGCAACGTGGACGCGTCTGCAGAGCTTGACTTTATATCCTGCCTCTGGGGGGTTGGATCCCGTCTCCAGGCTCCGTTCCGTGTAAACAGTCCGACTGCGACCGAAACGGGAACTTACCCCTTCTTGTGCTTTTTCTCCCCCACTCCTAGGTTCTCTCTTGCCTTCAGGCTTCCGGCTAAATTACATGCTTCCCCAAGCCTGTGAGATACTTGGCTTATTAGGAGAAACCTGTAGCTGGCCCAGACTGTTAAACTCTACCCTGAGGGAGGGATATGAACAGATGGATGAGAGAATTCAGTGGGATTAGTCAAGTCCTTTGAAGGCTGCTCTTCCCACTGCATTTTTCTCCCGGCCTTGTTTTCGTGCCGTCTCAGCACATCTTGCAGCCGTTGAGTTTCCTGGGGCTGTTGCTCGGTGTTCAACAGCTTGTCTGCATTTAGTCAGAGGAATTTTCCTCCCGAGGAATGGGGGAGATGGCTTCTGCTGCTAGAGAAAACACTGCTGGGTCGTGGACGGGCAGCATGGCCCCTGCGTGAGCATCGTGTGAGCAAAGGCAGATGAAATCCAGAGCACTTGGCATTCGGTTCTTCCAGCGCCCGCTTTTGATCTCGGGTTTTTAAATCCCGGTTGGTTTGGTGCCCGTCTCCTGTTGCAGCAGAGCTAGGAGCATGGTAGCACTATATGCTTCATAATGCTATATGCTATCAGTATATGCTTCATGACGCTATATGCTATCACTGTATGCTTCACGAGATGCAGCTCGGAGCTGCTGTTTCCCTCCACATGCCCCCTGTTTCCTGGCGGCTCATGGAAAGGGCCTCACGTGACTGAGTGTCTCCGTGTGTTTCTGTCCTAGATGGAGAAGGACGAGACGGTGAGCGACTCCTCCCCGCACATAGCCAACATCGGCCGCCTGGTGGAGGTGGGTGCTCTCCTGCCCGGGCTTGCTCCCACGCCCAGGAATTTGGCTCCATGCTTTTGTCTTTGCAAAGTTATTTACCCCTTCTGCACAGTGTGGGTGCCTTAGCAACCTCCCTAGGGTGCCCTGAATGGTTTGTAGACACCAAACATGCTCTCCCTGCGCTGCTTCGCACTTTCCTACTCCTCACGGTAGTAACCTCCTCGTAATACAATTGGTTGATAATGAATTTCCCTCACCTTCGTAGCTGCATTGGGAAGAGAGGAGAAAATTCCTAATAAAATAGATAATAATGTATATGTTAAAGAAACTGAGGCCTTGAAAGCAGGCAGGTATTTCTCTTTAGGTCCTTTTTCTAAGTGTTTAGCTTGAGTGAAAACAACTGCAGAAAGAAGATGATGCTGCTTGTTTGCAAGGTATTTCCCAGGCCTGTTGCCACTCAGGGCTAGTGAATTAGTCAATAGCTCAAAAAATGCCAGAAACCCCCAAGCACAAAACTCCTGAGCTGTCGGTTCTCAGTGAGCGACTTGCAGCTCCAGCTCCATCCAGCGCCAGAGCAAGGCGGGGGGAGCTGCAGTTTCCTTTTGCAGCGGGATGCCAAGAAACAGGATAGCTGGGCGGAAAGTGCCCTCTCGTGGCGCCGAATCCTATGAGCAGGGATTGCTCCGGCAGCCGCGGAGCTGAACCCGTGCCTAGGTTAGAGAGGGGACAGGGATCTCTGTGTCTGCCCGTGGTGGGAAGGGGCTGGGTCACACGGAGCTGCAGCGGCAGCCGGGGAGCGGTGCAGAGTCTGCAGAGGTGCTGAAGAAAACACTGCAGTCACTGAGGGTCGGTGTCTTGTTCTCTTACAGGACATGGAAAACAAAATCAGGAGTACGCTGAATGAGATCTATTTTGGCAAAACGAAGGACATCGTTAACGGGCTGAGGTAAGGGGCTCGCCGGCTTGCAGGCGGAGCCGCTGCTGCCCTGCAGCTCCCCTTTCCAGCACAGAATCCCTGCAGTCCCTGTGGTTTGGGAAGTGCTGGTTGTGGTGTGGTGTTCGGGGAGCGTTGCTTTTCTGCCTTCTAACTACAGGAGCTTGAAGTGGTGTTTTAATCCCCTGTTCCCTCAACAGGAAGCAAAGAGCACTTAGCAGCGCTTGTTCTTTGGGGTTATTCTTAATTGTGTATTTTATTTTTCTACATGCCTGAAAGTAGTTCTTAAATTCCGAATCTCCTTTCTAGAATCCTTAAAAAACAGCGAGCTGGTCCCAGACTAAGACTTGACATTAGCAGCTTGCAAGATTTGACATTATTTTTAATCCTCTCTTTCTCTCAACACCTCTGGCTGAAACATGATGCACTAGAAAGATAAGTGAGCGAGTCCTCTGTGCTTTTCCGAAGGAACCTCCCGGTACAACCCCCAGGCAGGAATTTTGTGTAGAATTCCCAAGCTGGTCGTTCGCAGGCTCCTAGAGGCAGGGGGGAACAGTGATGCCAAATCCCCTCCTCTTGGGCATTGCAAATAGACCCCCCCCTACACAGTGGGGTGGTGCAGAGGAGACGGTGCAAGTACCTCTGCTGCCACTCTCCTTGTACTGAAATATGTTAGAAGGAAAGGGAAGAAATCTGTAAGCTCTCCTTCAAATGATAGTTCCTGATGTCTTCTTAGCAGCACGGGCAGAAGCGGTTGGCAGTGCCCAGGAAAGCAGCTGCTCCTCCTGCCCACCCCTGCTTTCCGGACAGCCCTGTGTTTTCCTTGGTGCTGCGCAGGGCTTCAGCCAGGGAACCTTCACTAACGTTCAAGGGAGCTGTGTGGTGCAGCCTTTTCCTTCCCCCTGAGCCTGGCTGCAGCTTCAGTCACTGGTCGTGCTCGGGGCCGCGTCGCTGGGGCCGCCCCGCTGAGCGCGGCCGCGCGCAGCCTCCGCTCCGCCTCGGCCTCCACGCCGGTCCCGCTTCCTCTCGCTGTTGTGTCCTGATGCTCGCTGCTCCTGCCTGCGCTCCCGGGGCTTCCCGGCCTCCGTGTTGCTGAGTTCTCCTGACTGTTCTTTTCCTTGTTTACTTCCCTCCTTTCTGAACTGCTCGCCGTAGATCTATTGATGCTATCCCCGACAACCAAAAGTATAAGCAGTTGCAGAGGGAGCTTTCTCAAGTGTTGACCCAGCGCCAGATCTACATCCAGCCTGATAACTAAACCGATCCAGGTACCCCTGCCTGTGAGGTGTGACGAGGACTAAACCAGGACTCACCCCGCCGAGACCTCTGCATGATAACCGAGGCCAGAACTAACCCCCTAACTGCTGCAGCCCCACAGGCAGCCTGGGCTCCCCGTTCCACCCGACGGTTAATACTTGTCTGGCCACCTGGGCGCTGTGGCTCCCTTCCAAGCGCTCCTCTTTCCCCCCCTGCCCCGTAATCCAACCCCCCCATGCTCCGACCCTCATGTGCCGCTGGTATTTATATCTGTGACCTGTCGCCTTAATGAGCAAATTCCCTGCAATCTCAGTCTTCCTGGTGCAAACACGAGAAATCTTGGGAATAAACGGCTGTCCTCGCAGCTGTGAAAACCCCGCGCTGGCAGCAGTGCTTTCGGGGCTCCGCAGGGGCCGGGTTCTTCCCATGTGCTCCGCATTGGCTGTGCGGAGTGTCAGCTGCTGCGGGCGGGGGTCGGCCCCGTTCGCAGTGCTCTGTGCGCCTGGGGAAGGGCTTTGCCCCATGCCGCCTCCGGGAGCCCAGAATGCCGGCGCTCCCGGCAGGGCGGAGCCCGGAATGCCAGCGCTCCCGGTGGGGCTGAGCCTGGCATGCCCAGTGCAGCCTCCGTGCCCCTTTGTAACGAGGCACAGATGGTGTCTCCGACGCCTCGGGCTGCCCGAGGGCAGTTGTTTGTTGCCCAAAACGCGGCATTCGTTGATGGTGGCCAAGAACCATTGGTCAGCCTGTGAGAAACACCGGCAAAAAATGTATATGTTTTTATTGAAGTGGTGGAACTCTCTGGAGACAAGGGAATGGAAAGACTGTTATGAAAACGTTAGGAAAACAACAGGCACAAAGAGCGGCCTTGTTGACAGGAGCCAGCGGCCGCGCAGAATGAGGTAGCTTTGACTGCAGCAGACAGCACGAGCTGCGGTTTCCGTGGGAAGAAACCCCACGGAAGGGGATCTGTGCGTTGCTGCAGCGGCCTTGGAAAAGTCAGGGAGTGTTAGTGTGGTGGTGATCGTGTTTGTGAACGTGGTGGCTTTTAGTGAGAGTTTCATAATTCCCTGCTGAAAGCGCAGGTTCCTTCACAGCCATCCTCGAGAACAGCGAGCCACGATGAATCCTTCAAGATGGATTTTTTTCCCCGCCACCAACTTTTGGGAGAAGCAGCACCCTGCAATCATCTTGCTGCTCATTTCAGCAGTCTTGAAGAACAGGCTCTCTGTCCTTCACCTCTTTTGGTTTGCCAGTCGCTGTGGGCACCGAGAGGCGAATGTTGCTGGAGAAGGTGACGGTGCAGGGGACTATGGCTGGAGGAACCAAAGTGCAGCCGTCTGCCCGGGCCGGCTGGGCTGCGAGCGCCTTCAGACGGGAGCACTCGCACCCTTTGCCGGGGGCGCAGCTGCATTTTCCCTTTCAGCTGCCCCTGGAGCTGTGGGTGTCGGCGTGGCGCCGCGCGGGACGGCCTCCCGCGCCCTCCTGGCTCCAGGGAGCTCTGCTCCGTGGGCGCCGCTCCGCGCAGGCAGGCCGGGCCCAGGGGCTGCTGCGGGCACCTCCGCTGCCCCTCTCATTTGTGCTTCCTCTCTCTCCGCAGGTCTGTGCAGACTTTTGCAGACAAATCAAAACAAGAAGCTCTTAAAAATGACCTGGTGGAGGCTTTGAAGAGAAAGCAGCAAAGTTAAAACGCTCTCCGTGCTCACGAGACAGGCCATGCACTCATTAGATTCCTTTCGTAGAACAACTCCTGGTCCCCCCCTTTTCTGTTACGTCACGTCACGACTCGCACCCAGCGCTGTCCACGCAACGCCATCCTCCCCATGAATAAAGCTCTACAAACTTAGTCAGTCTCTGAGGCCTACTTTGCACCACGTTTCCCAGCGAGACCTTAGGCTCTGTTTCTGTAGAAGTCCATGGATTTTCTTTTTTCTCCCCTTGCCCCTCTTGGCCCCTCCTTGCATTTATACGCATAAACACGTATCATTGTTTGTCTTTTTTTTTCCTCCCCACCCCTCCCGCCTTTTGTTACATTGGTGTAAAAAATGTAAAACAAAAAAATTTATTAAATACTGTGGTGTGTGAAAGAGGAAGAACTGGAAAAAAATTTAAATCTATTCCACGTATGTTTGGGGGCTGGGCACGGGGGCTGGCGGTGGGAGGGAGGGAGGAAGAGAGGGCGTCTCCTCAGCGGTGTCCTGTCCTGCCGCATGGACACGGCGGATGGGAGACCTGCTGAACCCTCTGCTCTTCCATAGCCTGGTTCCAAGGCGCTTTTCTGTCGATTTTTATGGAATGCTAAAGGGGTTTTCGTTTCAACTTTTTTTTTGTAAAGCTTAAATGGAATCTACATCTGATACTTGAGCCTCCATACTAAAGGAAAAAAAAAGAAAAAAAATACAAAAAGAACAAAATAAAATTAAAAAAAAACACTCCCTGGAGCCGTGTGTGCGTTTGGTGTCCGGCCTGTGTCTCTTTCCTGGGTTTGTGTTGTTGGGGTTTGTGCCATGAGCATCCCAAGAAAGGAGCACGCGAAGCAGCCGAGCAGCCCTGCGGGAGCAGGTCGGGGTGCTGGGGTGCTCCGTTCCCTCCCAGGACAACCACTTTGGGTGCCAGATAGGTGTGTGTGGACTCCTGCAGCTGGACAAAGCAAGCAGCTGCAGGGGGGGGCAGCAGGAGAGGTAGCAGCTGATAAAAGTGGGCCTAAAAGGGGGTGAGGAAGAGGGTTTCTCTCCTCTCTAACCCTCAGCCGAGGAGGTGCAGCCCTAGCGTGTGGCCCAGTTAGAAACAGGGGAGACAGAGGGAGCAGCAGCAGCTACATAAACCCCACCCCCCAAAAAGTGCCATAGAGGTACAAGGGCAAAGAGTTGTTTTTATAAAGTGCAAGCCACGGCACCTGGGATACATCTGTGTGGATTCAGACCTTTGGGCTGCTCCCCTCGCCCGCTGCCCTCGCCGCTGGCTCTTGCAGGGGCTCAGCCGTGGAGATGAGAGCAGCAGTGAGGGAAGGGCAGGAGGGAGCGCAGCGGTGACCTGCTGCTCTTCGCTTCTCCCTTCCCGCAGCTCCCCGAGTTCTCTTCGCTTTTGCCAGGAACAGGGAAGCTCGAGATGCAGCCTGGACAGCAGGATGCCCAAGCCCAGCTGTGGGGCTCCAGAGCAGCGAAGAGTAACCAGCTGAGGTGTCTCCTTCCCTGCGGCTCCCAGGAGCATCGTTGGCATTGACAAGGCACGAGGGTTCCCGGGCAGGGCGCCCGGCGGCGCAACACGTCGCTCCCTGCCTCTCCCGAGGGCCGGCCAAGGATGATGGCAGGATGGGGGTCCAGCCCGCCTGGCTTTACGGTCACCTTTGGGGTCAGCTGTCCGAGGGCTCATCCTGCTCCCCAAGGAGGGCGTCTCTCTCTTCCGGAGCGCCAGCCTTTCCCGTCCGGTAAGCGAGGAACTGGCAGGAAATCTGGGAAGCGGTTAAGGCTCCACACAGAGAAGTGCAACAGCCCACACGACACCCCGGGCCTCACCACCCCATCAAGTGCTGGCGCCAGAGGCTTTGCTGTGCGAAGAGCCCAGAGCCTCTTGCAAATCCTCACGAGGCCCTCGGGGCTTGCGACACGGCAGCCGAGTCAGCAGCACGTGAGGGAGGAAGGATACAATGACGTCGAGCGAGAGGACGCCCAGGCTGCCGACGAGCCAGGGCAGGTGGCGCAGGACGTAGTCGGCCGGGCTCTGCCCGGGTTCGGGGTTCTTGAGCAGGACGCTCGCGCCGTACAGCGCGTTGCCCAGCATCACCAGGGCAAAGAGCCAGTAGGAGACCCCCACCGTCGACTTCCTCTTGTACTGCGGAAAGAAAAGCATGACTGCATTCCAAAGGGAACAGAGAGAGATCAGTATCCCAAGGAAACACCTCTCTGTGCATCCTTATCATCACAAGGGGAAAAGGCCGGGCCGCCACCCTCCCCGCCCGCACGCGCTGCGGCTCCTACGTTAGTGTAGATCTGGGGGAGTCGGGAGCACAAGTAGAGCACGGAGGAGACGGAGCCAATGATGAAGCCGATGATTTCACTCCTGGAGAATGGCTGCAAGGCAGGACAGGCCATGACTAGTGTGTGTTTCTTCCAGGATGGACTCACCAGAGCCACCAACCCACAGAGCAACAACAGCGTGACCCAAACCAGGTCTCTCGCTCCTCCCGCTGTTCCTTGCCGGTTCCTCTCCCGCACCGGCTGGGATTACAGCGGCACTGACAAGGCCACTGGGCAGCAGGTACGACTCCGTGCCGTCAGTTACTGTCATTTAACGTTTTTAGCCCTGTGATCGGGGTGTCTGTGCTCTCCGCAGACTCGGGGAGCATCTCACCGTGTCGCCGGGCTCCGGCGTGCCGGCGGCCAGGAGCGCCCTGCCCCGGAACGCCGCCGGCCCCGGCGCCGTGCCAGCCTCTCCGCCCAGCAGCGACGCCGCCGACGCCATTCCCAGCAGGACAAAGACGCAGGCCGCGTTGATGGGAGCTCCCACTGCAGGGCACAAGCAGGGCTCGTTAGGGAGGGCTCACCTGGCAGCCTGGAGGGGCAGCTGGCTCTGCCTCTGCCCGGAGAGGAGCACTGCTCAGCGAGAGCTTTGTCTGTGGCTCCAAACTGGAGCAATAACTTGCCTGGGCCTTTTATCTCACAGCGATAAGGGCTATTTGCAGCTTATCTGGAAGGAAACTCTTCCTATCTGAGCTGACCAAAATAGTAAAGTTTCTTTGGTTTGAGGGTTCTTTGAAAAGGAAAAAAGAAACCCACAACCTTCCCAGCCATCTTGATGCTTTTCACTGCCTCAAACCACAGCAGGGCAAGTTCAAGCCCCTGCCGAGCTCTGACTGCAGGACTTGCCTGGCAGGGCCGTTTTTCTTTTCTCTCCTAGTGCAGTAGGACGCTGTCCGACTGGGTTCACAGGCACTTCGGTAGGTTAATGCTCCACAGTTCCTCTCACTAGTTCAACCCAGTCTGGCTTCAGCCCCACAGCCTCCCCCCAGCGCAACAGGAGCGAGAAGGGCTCTGTTTGCATTAGATTGTGTGAATAATCCCAAGCAAGTTCCTGCAGTTCCATCAGGGAGATGCTCAAGGCGCTGCCTTTTGTGCTCGTGCAACCCAGCACGGGAGCTTCAGCGCAGACGCCACACGGCCTCTTCGTGAGCCAGGAGCTATTCAGGAGCTGCAGCTTGTTTTAAACGGCGCTGCTCTCATGGGTGCTCAGGGGAAGGCAAGAGCCAGCAAGCAGAGGCACCTAAGGCTGCACTGGCACATCTGTAAGGTGTCCCTGCCCGGAGCGGGGGCGTCCCTGGGGAATCACCCTCCTGGTCTCAGAGCCCAGACAAGCTGTCTTTAAAGACGGTGGCAAGGGAGAGCACTGCCCGCTGCGCTCGCGACCGTAACTCACATGCTCCCCTTCGGTTCTTGGCTTTGTAGTAGCTGTACAGGAACAGCATGACCAGGTCTGCCAGCACGTAGTAAATGGCGGTGTAAATCTGTGGGAGGAGAGCGCGGTCACCGCGCGAGAGGGGCTCCCTCCCCACAGGGAGCTCCGGGGGAAGGGGCGAAGGAGCGGCCGCCGCGTTGTCCTCTCCTCGGGACGCGTCCCCCAGCACTCCCGCGGGGTCCGCGGGTACCTGCAGAGGCAGCTGGTTCGCAAGGAAGGAGCCGATGAGGTTGAGGAGGTCTCCGCCCAGCCATCCCAGCAGGAAGTAGATGGAGAGCGCCTGGTCCATGATGCCAGTCTTGCAGGCTTGGTAGAACTGCCTGCAGAGAGGGATTGACGCGCAGACCGTTCGCGGCAGGAGCAGTCCGGCTGTACCCAAAGCACCCCAGCGGAGCGGAGCAGCCCGCAGTCGCCATCTCCCCTTCAGCAAGTGCCTCTCGCTATAGGAACACAGCGGGCGGGCACGAGCACAGCCGGACAGCAGCGGCCCGGCCGCCCGGGCGGCACCGCGAGCCCGGGGGAAAGCAGCCCGTCCCGCAGGGCGGCGCGGCCTCCGCTCGCGGGGCCCGGCACTCACGGCAGGGAGGCGGCGGCGAAGCAGCCGATGGAGAGCAGGCCCAGCAGCACGCTGGCCACGTCGCGCCCGTCGCGCGCGCACTCGTTGAACACGTCGCGCACCCAGGCCGCGCCGTCGGGGCAGGCGGAGCTGTTGCCGCCGGCCGAGGCCATGGCCCGCGGGGAGCGCGCGGCCGGACGAGGCGGCCGCTGCCCGGCCCGGCGTCCCCGCCCCGCGGCCCCGCCTGTTCCGGGGCGGCCATGGCCATGGCGGCGGCGGCGGGGCGCGCGCGGCCGGCCACGGTGCTGGGCGCCATGGAGATGGGGCGGCGCGCGGGGCCCGAGCTGAGCGCCGCGCTGCTGCGCGCCTACGTGGCGCGCGGCCACCGCCTGCTCGACACGGCCGCCATGTACGCGGACGGCGGCTCCGAGCGCATCCTGGGCTCGCTGCTGGCCGGCGGCGGCGCCCCGGGTACGGGAGGGCCCCGCGCCGCGGGGCAGCGGGGCGCGCGGAGCCGCCGTCGCGTAACCGTCACCCCGGTCCGTGCTGGGAGGGGCGTAACGGTCACCGCGGTGCGTGAGGGAACGGGCGTAACGGTCACCCCGGTGCGTGAGGGAAGGGGCGTAACCGTCCCCCAATCCATGAGGGAAGGGGCGTAACCGTCCCCCAATCCATGAGGGAAGGGGCGTAACCATCACCCCAGTCCATAAGGGAAGGGGTGCAACGGTCGCTCCCGTCCATGAGGGAAGGGTGTAACGGTCGCTCCCGTCCATGAGGGAAGGGGTGTAACGGCTGCTCCGGTCCCTGAGGGAAGGGGCTAACCGTTACCCCAGTCCATGAGGGAAGGGGTGTAACGGTCACCCCGGTCCATGCGGGGAGGGGCGTAACGGTCACCCCAGTGTATGAGGGAAGGGGCGTAACCATCACCCAATCCATGAGGGAAGGGGTGCAACGGTTGCACCCATCTCTGAGGGAAGGGGCGTAACGGCCGCTCCTGTCCATGAGGGAAGGGGTTTAGCGGTCGCAGCTGGTCCTTGGGGAAACGGTCGCCCCTGAAGGAAGGGGGTTCAATGGTTGCCAGGAGCGGTTGTCCCTGAGGGAAGGGGGGGTTCAACGGTCGCCACATAACGGTCACCTCCAATGCCCAGGGCAGGTTGCGTCATGGGCAGCCCTGGTCCCCCAGGGAAGGGGGTTCAATCGTCACTGGGAGCGGTTGTCCCTGATCCCCCAGGGAATGGGCTCCCACGTGAGGGCTGCCCCTGGCCAGGCCCGCGGGCGCTTTCCTCCCTGCCCATCCCGCCGCCTCTCCCTTTCTCCCCAGTGGAGATCGCCACCAAGGCCAACCCCTGGGGTGGGAACACGCTGAAGCCCGAGAGCCTCCGCTCGCAGCTGGAGTCGTCCCTGGAGCGGCTGGGGAGGAAGAGCGTGGAGCTCTTCTACCTCCATGCGCCGGACCACGGCACCCCTGTGGAGGAGACGCTGCGGGCCTGCAATGAGCTGCACAAGGAGGTAAGAGCGGGGGAGACGGAGCTCGGGCCGCCTCTTATCCTGTCCTAGCCTCTTTTTAAGCCACGGCTGCCTGTTAGGCCAGGGGTCACAAAAAAGAAGAAAAGAAGATCCACAAAGGAACAGAAAAGGGAATACAGCTGACTCTGGAAGTGCAAAACAACAGCTCTTGTTTGCTCATGTGCTGCACTTTGTTCTCGAGGGCTCCTGCGAGTGTTGGAATGTTTGAACTTTGCTTTCTGCTGTATAAAGTCACTCGGGTAAAGCAGTGTTGGCAATGGCTGTTTTCTTCCGGAACGGGCTGCCCAGGGAGGCTGGGGAGTCTTCATCCCTAGAGACCTGCCAGAGACGCCTGGATGTGACTGGGCACCCTGGGGTCCCTATAGGAGCAGGGGACTGGACTAGATGATCACTAGACTCATCAGTGTCTTTTTAGACCAAATCCCACTTAAATTATAAGGTGTGAATTAACATTTGCACAGTGTATGTACATGCTCATTAGGAATGGATTTAAATACCTTTTCGTTCCTTTACAGGGAAAGTTTAAAGAGCTCGGTCTATCCAACTATGCGGCGTGGGAGGTGGCAGAAATCTGTACCATCTGCAAACACAACAACTGGGTGATCCCAACCGTGTACCAGGTGAGGGACGTGGGCTTGCACGGTCCGGGTGACCTTTCATGGAGGCTGCCAAGGCGACCCAAAGACTGTTGCAGATCAAAGCCACCGACGGCAGGTGGTGTGTGTTGTTACAGTAGCATCTGGACAGTCACCCTGAAGGGAGGGTCTGGGACCCCTAAGCTCGGAGCAGACCCCAATGCAGCAGGTTTGAACACGGAGCAGCAAGCTCTGTTAGTCTGGGAAGAGCTCTCAGGACACGTGTTTAGAAAGGAGGGAGGTCATTTCGCAGATAAAGCCGAGTACGTGTTTGGTCTGTATCAGTAACTGCCTGGATGTGGAACTTTAAATGGTTGCTCAATAAGGCAAAAACTTGGAGAATCTGTCGCTAAGCAGATTTATAACGTGCTATGACCTGAAGCCTCTCTGTTCTGATCCCGTTTGGATAAGATGGAAAATTGTTAGGCAAGGATTTGGTGCGGCAGTGATGATGTGATTCATGCACTGGAACATACGCACGGTTCAGTGGGAGTTGGTCTGCAGGTATCCACACTTTGCATTTCTGACATTTGGCTGCTATGGATCTATTGCTCTTTCAGGAACTCATGAAAAGGTTAAGCAGATTTGCATTTTCCCAGACTCTTTATTTGGCCGTGAGGTCCTAGAAGACCAGGTTTTAATTCTGAGCAGAATTTAAGGTGAGAGGAAGAGCAGAACGAAGCACAGAAAGTGCCCTCCTCTCGGCTTTGACAGCGCTGTTGCTGATGTGACCAGCCCAGCCTTGGTGCTGCTGCCACGCTGGACCCAGCCCCATCCCAGAAGGGAACATAAGTCATGACTTAGTAGCCGGGATTTGTGCCAGGAGGCCCGAAGTCGTTCTGTGCAAGTCCCCTCTGTTGTGAACCAGCATTTGAGGCTCTCTGTGTCCTTCCTGTCTGGGCAGGGCATGTACAACGCCACCACTCGCCAGGTGGAGACGGAGCTGTTCCCCTGCCTGAGATACTTCGGCTTGCGCTTCTACGCCTACAACCCGCTGGCTGGTACGGGAGCAAGGCGCGAGGGCGCCGAGCTGCGCGCGGGCCGGGCTCACAGGGCCGCGGAGCCAGAGGGACGTGTTCCAGTCGCCCTTGCTCCTTCCTTTCCTTGGCCTCCAGGCCAGTCAGAGCCTGCCCGTAGAGCTGAGGGTGGCTGTGGAGACTAAAATACATGGAAAAGGGGCTCTGAAAGAGCCAGCCCGGCACTGATAACGTGGCTGCCCCTTTGCAGGAGGGCTGCTGACGGGCAAGTACAAGTACGAGGACAAAGATACAAGCCAGCCTCCTGGAAGGTTTTTTGGGAATGACTGGGCCGAGACCTACAGGAACAGGTATGACTTCAGCTAATGGAAGAGCAGCCAGACGGAGCAGGGATGGCTACTACGGAACTTATTAATTGGCTGGGAAGCAGCAGCTTTGGCCAGTGTCCGCAAGGATCGTGGGTGCCGGCCTCGCATCCTCCCCGGGGTGCTGCAGGGCAGCCCTTGTGCTGCCTCTGCTTGGGGTTTGTGTAAGGAACTGGGGTCTGAGCATCTCCCTTCTCCTGAAGGGCTTCAGGGCGACAGCCTTTGAGCTTTGGGGCTTCTGGGCTCGGCTTCCTCCCAGCTTTACTGGCCTGGAGCCTTTCCCTCCTTGCCTGGGATATAGACGCACAATCCATTTGAGGAAACTGGAGGTCTCACAGTCAGTAACATTCATTTCTCTTGTTGAAGATACTGGAAAAAGCACCATTTTGAAGCGATTGCCCTCGTGGAAGGGGCTATAAAGGCTGCTTATGGCTCCAGTGCCCCCAGCCTGACGTCAGCCGCTTTGCGCTGGATGTACAATCACTCTAAACTCCAGGTAAGAGCCGACGCTGCCGCGCAGCAGCCTCCAAGGAAATGTTGCAAGAGCAGCCTGTGCTGGCACGGGAAGCGAATCAGGATTTCTCTCCCGCCAGACAACTGCTTACCGCTTTGCAGGGCTCCCTTGGAGACGCGGTCATCATCGGCATGTCCAACTTGGAGCAGCTGGAGCAGAATCTGAACGGCAGCGAGGAGGGTCCTCTGCAGCCAGCTGTGGTGGAGGCGTTCGACAAGGCCTGGAGCCTCACGGCGCACGACTGCCCCAGCTACTTCCGCTAGGAGCCGGCGCAGGGAAGGGCAGGCGGCGCCTCGGGATCCCCCGGGGACCCTCTGGGCAGCTCTGCCGGCCACTCCTGCACCTCCCAAGCCGCCTGGAGAGCTCCCCATCCACCCTGCTCTGCTCCGAACCAACAGGTGGCGATTTCCCATGGGAACAGAGCCCCTAGGATTGGGCACTGCCGCCTTAAGCGTCCCACCTCGTGCGCCCTCCCCTCCGCGTGCGTCAGGGTTTGGAGATGCCCCTGCTAGCGGGAAGAACCGGGGCAAGGGTCTGGTTCTCCAGCTCCCCTTCCCGTTGCTAATGGTACCTTACAATTTAAATCATTACGTATACGAATAAATCTAATGCAGACTGTCTCCCTGAGCTGTAGCCCAGCCTGTGCTTTCTGTTGACACAGCTCAGTCCGACTGTAGTGGCTCGGAGCCAGCGGTACTCAAACAATAACAAGCAGCAGCAACAACAGTCGTAAGGTCCAGAGGGACCTGGACAGACTGGACAACTGGGTGGTGAGAAATCTCATGAGGTTCAAGTGCAGGGTCCTGCCTTTGGGGAGGAATAACCCTGGACACCAGTACAGATTAGGGGTTGACCTGCTGGAGAGCAGCCCCGCAGAGAGGGACCTGGGCGTCGTGGTGGATGACACGATGACCATGAGGCAGCAGTGTGCCCTGGTGGCCAAGAAGGCCAACGGGATCCTGGGGTGCATCAAGAAGAGCGTCTCCAGCAGGTCGAGGGAGGTGATCGTGCCCCTATACACAGCCCTGGGGAGGCCACATCTGGAGCCTGTGTCCAGTTCTGGGCTGCCCAGGACAAGAGGGATGTGGAGCTGCTGGAGAGAGTCCAGCGCAGGGCTACCAGGATGATCAGGGGCCTGGAACATCTGCCCTGTGAGCAAAGGCTGAGGGAGCTGGGCCTGTTCAGCCTGGAGAGGAGGAGGCTGAGGGGGGACCTGAGCAGTGTCTATAGATACCTCAAGGGAGGCAGTGAGGATGAGGGGGCGGCCTCTTTTCAGTGGTGGGCAGCGACAGGACTAGAGGAAACGGCCACAAGCTGAGGCACCAAAAGTTCCACAGGAGCTTAAGGAAACATTTCTAGACAGTGAGGGTGCCCGAGCCCTGGAACAGGCTGCCCGGAGAGGTTGTGGAGTCTCCTTCTCTGGAGATCTTCAAAACCCGCTTGGATGCAGCCCTGTGCCCCGTGCTCTGGGTGACCCTGTGAGTGCAGGGGGTTGCACTAGATGACCTCTGAGGTCCCTTCCAACCTTTAGCATTCTGTGACTCTAAGTTTTAAACACAGCTTTATATAAAAAACAGAGATCATCTTTTATGGGAAACAATGTGAGTTGGTTGCCTTGTCTGCCTGGTGCAGGCGGAGAAAGAGAAAACCTTTTTGTGTCTGAAATAGTTAAAACTGTCCCGTATGCAAAGACAAGCACTGCCGCTAGTCCTCGCTGCTGTTCTGCTCTTCTTCCTCCTCCTCCTCCTCCTCTCCTGCAGTCTCCGGCTCTCCTTCCAGCTGCTCAAAGTCTCCTGTCTCAGAGTTCCACAGGAATTTGATGGTCACTTTGAACTCCGCCATCTCGTAGCCAAAGAGTTTCTAGGAAAGGAGACACAGATCCATCATTCCCGCTCTGCGGCGAGCCGAGCTCAAACGCTCCGACAAGCAGCTTCCCCAGGAGCACCAGGACAGCAGCTCTGGAATTGAGAACTAAAGGAAACCTGACTGCGGGCCTGGGGCTGGGACTCGGCAGTGAATTCCCGTCTGTTCCCATTTACTAGAAGCAGTGTGCGCAGGTTCTGCCTGTGGCAGCTCGGGGAACGCGGCGCAGAGCTGTCCCTTTCCCCGTGCAGGGCTGCTCACCAGGATGCGCGCTTGCTCCGGCGTCAGCACGTCCCCCTCCTTGCACACCTCGTAGTCAGAGAGCAGCGTCACCACTCCTGCCGGAAGGAAAGATACCGGGAACGCCGAGGGAAGCGGCGGCAGAGCCTCCGCGGCCCGCCTGGCGCCGCAGCACGGGACTATCCTCAACCACCACCCTTGGATTCTGCCTCGAACAGCTAAGCCATTGCGCACACCGAAGGCGACAGAGGCTTTCGGCACCGCGCGGCACAGGCTCCCAACGGGGACTCGTCCTGCTCAGAGGGAACGGCGTCTCCGCGGCCGCCTCACCCACCTTTCTTGAGGGCCGTGGGCAGCCCCAGCTGCCGCAGCTGCGGCTCCATGGAGTGCGGGAACTGCTCCAAGGGCCCCGTGTCCAGGCTCACCGCGTAGGTCGCCCTGTTCCCCGCGCGGGCGAAATCCACCTCCCGGAACTGCGAGAACCACCTGGGAGCGGGGCGGGCAGCGCTGAGCGGCGCCCGGCGGCAGGGCAGGGCCGGGGCGCGCGGGGCCGCCCGTACTCACGCGTTCACCTCGTCCTTGGTGCGGTCGGTGAAGAGCAGCCCGACCTCCCCGCGCAGCCGCTTGCTGACCTGCGGGCAGCGCCCGTTGGCGGGGCCCGGCTCCCGCCTCCCGCCCGCGCTCCCGCGCCCCCCCGCACCCACCTGGTGCAGGTTCTCGCGGTACTCGCTGGCCGGCTCCCGTCCCAGCGCCACCATCATCACCTTGTTCTTGCCGAAGAAGATGCTGCGGGGAGGGGAGCGCGGGCTCGGGGGCGCCCGTGATGCCGGCGCCCGTGCTCCCGGTGCCCCCGTGCCCGCTCACCGGCTGTGCCTCCAGGCGCTCCGCACGCCCTTCAGCTTGTCGTTGCGCATGTTGTCCACCGAGAAGACGAAGAGGTGCCGGAAGGTGTCCACGCACTGCCGCAGCTGCGCGGCACGGCACGGCGCGGCTCAGCGCGGGCCCAACCGGGCCAGACCCAACCGGGCCCAACCGGGCCGCGCCGGGAGCGGGGCGGGGGGCCGGCCGCGCACTCACCTCGCTGATGAGCGCCTGCTTGGCCTCCAGCCCCTTCTTGGGCGTGCGCGTGAGCGACACTGCGGGCGGCGGGGCGCGTTACCGGGGCGGGGGGCCCGTTACCGGGGCGGGCGGAACGCGGGGGGGCGCGGAACGCGGCGGGCGGCCCGCGGTGCCGGGGGGCCCGTTCCTGGGGAGGACAGGACGGGGGGGCTCTCACCTTTGCGGTCCCGCTTTGACTTCGGCATGGCGGCGAGGACCCCTGCGCGCCGCGCGGGCTGCTGGGAGCGCTGCGGGCCGCCCGCCCCGCCGCCTGATCCGCGGGGCGCGTTCCGCGCAGGCGCGGGAGGCGGCGCCGGCGCGGGAGGCGGTGCCGGCGCGAGGCCCCCTGCGGCGGTCATGGCGGCCGCGCTGCTGCTGCTGCTGCCGCTCGCGGCCGCCGTCTACGAGGACCAAGTGGGCAAGTTCGACTGGTGGGTGCG